TTGTAGCAAATATCATCACTGTGTAATTCATTTTTATAATCCACTGTAATTCAAGGACAATTCTGTCCCTTTTGACATTATTTGTTCTCATGGAACACTGACAGAGTGTCAGCTGTCACATAGCAGTACTCTCAGTGCTTCTCCTAATTATTTCTCACCTCTAGAAAGAAAACGAGGAAATAAGGAAAGCTAGCTAGCTAGCTGCCATCTAGTCAACTCCAACTCGCAGTGACAAAATATTGCTCAGTGCTGGCTCATGCTTACAATAGCTAGCATGTTGATGTCCATCTTGCAGATGCCATGCCAGTCCACCTCACAGTGTATCTATCTCCTCGCTGACCCTCTATTTCATCAAACATGATATACTTGTCCAGTGATCTGTCTCTCCTGGTGATGCATCTAAAGCAAGTTAATTGGACAGTATTCCATTGTGATCCATAGGGTTTTCATTGGCTAATTTTCAGATCATCAGGCCTTTCTTCCAAATCTGTCTTAGTTTGGAAACTCTGCTAAAACCTGTCCACCATGGATGATATTTGAAATATTAATGGAACAGCTTCCAGCATCATAGCAGCCTGCAAGCTACCACAGTATGAGAAAGTGACAGACAGCTGTCCTCACCTCTAGTTTCCTGCTTTGAACTTCCTGCAACTTTGGATACCCACATGTTCAAGTCTGGTTAATGTTACCATGTTCTTATTGGAAGGTATTACCTGTAGCACACATTTTTATCCTTGATTTATAATCTATTGAGAAATAGGACAATATAGTAACATACATAGGACTCAAAATGCCAACTTGATGAGCAAAATAACAGAAATTCAATGACACAGCTCATATTCCACACAAGTTGCTTCTGACTACTTCATCTCAGAGTTAGACAGAATTTTCCACCTGATCCCATCAGCACTCAAATGAGCAAACACCCTGCCTATAGCCTGGAGAATCAGAGGAGATCATAGCTCTTTGAGAACCTAGGCTAGAACAGGGCTGAACTATTCTTGTCCATCCATACTCTCTAGTCAAGTAAGTGACTCTCCAGAAGTCAGCTAGTGGAGCTTCCTCATCCTGAAGGGATGTTGATTTAGAATTGATAGACTTAAACAACCAAGGACCCATTCACTGTAAGTATGTCAGATTTGTAACTCTTATTTTGAGTGATTTCAGTCTTGTTTCCTATGTTGTTTTCAAGAGAATGTAGCTGAGTCTCTCTGACCATGAGATATATGGATATCCTTGTAGTTTATTGCTAACTTAT